TGTATGTGATTCAAGAACTGGTCAAAATTCTTAATCTTTGAAATAGATAATTTGTAAATTGCGAAAATCTTTCAAAGATCAATTCACCCCCCTCTTGATCTCAGCCTACATTTCTAACAGTTTGGTTATGCCACTATCAACACAGACCAAGGTAATATATATATATATATATATATATATATATATATTGTCTATTTTCTCTTTTCTAGTATTATAATTATATAAATGTTTAATTAATTGTTATCATTTGTTTAGGAGGACTTGCGTCGTGCTAAGCATAAAAAACAACCTATTATTGATGAGGACATGACAGAATGTAAGGATGATCCCATATCTATGTTTTTGACCATATTACCACGGTTGAGGAAGAGACCTTATCAGATACAATGGGAGGTTAGAGTGTTTGGAATTGACAATTCCAGTGTTCCATTATACATTTCCTTGCCCAATGCATTAGAAATTGCTGGGGGAAATTGCATGTTAAACATTTCCATCATACAATTGTGGGAAATGTAAGTCATTTTCATTTATGTTTCTAAGATTATAATAATTATATTCAACTTATAATTAATTGTTTTAGGTACATTGACAAATTGAGTGTGGAACAAGAAAAATCTGAAGTATACAAATTTATTGAGCCTCAATCCATCCAAAAATCTGGAATTACAAAGGTTGGAATCCAACAATATATGAAAACATGAATGAGTGACTCAAAAAGGCACATATATTTGGCTCCATACATTGAAGGGTTATTATTTTAATTTATATTTTTATAACTAATTTTTATGTCGTATAATGTAGGTCCCATTGACGAGTTAATTGTAATCATGCCCCGAGATTACACTCGTAGTGTGGTTTTGTTCATTACATCGAAACCGAGTCAAGAAATGAAAAACTTATTACAAGTGTAACTTTATCTTTTATTCATTAATTATGTTTTTAAATTATAAATACATATTGAATAATATATGACTTTTTTCACTTAGAATCGTGTCCGGAACTAATGTTCTAAGTGGAAAACCCAGAACAAAGACTTTGCAGTTCATTTATCCTAAGGTTAGAAACTTATTTATATAAGTGAATACCATAATTATTGTTTGTATTTAAAATTTGAAAATAACATTATGTTTTTATTCATCATTTCAGTGTAATAAGCAAACAAACTCATTTGAATGTGGTTACTATGTTATGTATTGGATGAGAGCCATAGTTTGTGCGGGTATAATTGATTCTTGGACAGAGGTAATTGCTTTCAACATTAGTTAAGTTTATTTAACTTTATGCATGTTGCATGTTTACAAGAGTTAAATTAATGTTTCAGGTATTTCAAGATCCATCTCCATTGCCAG